AGTTGGCTGAGGAGTCAGAACGGTGCAGCTTTTCCTCATCTGTCTTTCTCCCACAGCCTCAGCAAGCTTTTTTGGATCCCATGGGCTCCTACCTTTTTTTTTCTCTAAAGCTGGCTCCCCTCCATTTGGTTGTCTGCATGTGGCAGACCTTTGTGCCAGCTTAAATGGCATGGCCTCTCTTCTTTTTCTCCTCCATTCTCCTCCTCAGCTGCTGAGATTTATAGCTTGCCTGCCCTGGGTGGTTTTCCTTTAAACGCTAATGAGATTCAAAAGAAAAAAAAAACAAAAAACTAATGATTTAGGTATTTTATTAAAATGAAATAATTTCTAAGTGTTTAACTCTTTTTATGTAAGTATACTAAACAATAAAGATTTGCAATATTTATTTTGTTTTGCTGTGCTGGAGATGAAACTTGGGCCTCTTTTATGCTATATAACTATAACTGAGTTATACCCTTAGGCTGAAATTGTATGTGTGCTGAAATTGTATGTGTATATAACTATAACTGAGTTATACCCTTAGGCTGAAATTGTATGTGTATATAACTATAATTGAGTTATACCCTTAGGCTGAAATTGTATGTGTGCTGAAATTGTATGTGTGTACACGTGCGTGCGTGCATGCGTGCGTGCGAGTGTGTACCTGTATGTGCATATCATGGCTACAAGCTGATGTCAGAAAACTTCTCTACATTTTTGTTGTTGTTACTGAGACTGGCCTCAAACACAGAGATCCACCTGCCTCTGCCTCCCAAGTGCTAGGATTAAAGGTGTGTGCCACCAAACCTGGCCCTCCACTATGAATGTTTTGCCTGAGTGTATATATGTGTACTGTGCACATGCCTGCTGAGTGCAGGAGTCAGAAGAAGGCATAGGTTCCCCTGGAACTGGAGCTTGTGGATGGTTGAGTCATCGTGTGGGGTCTGGGATCTTAACCCAGGGCCCTCTACAAGAGCAGCAGGTACTCTAACCTGCTGAGCCATCCCTCCAGCCTCTCCACTTTATGTTTCTTTATTGTTTTGGGAGGGGAGTTTTTCTTTTTTTCTTTGGTTTTTGGTTTTTAGTTTGGCTATTTGATTTCTGAGACAGGGTCTATTTATGTAGTCTTAGGGAATCTGGAACTCTATATAGACCAGGCAAGCCTCAAACTCATGGAGGTCAGGCTGTCTCTGCATCTTGAGTGCTGGGATTAAAGGTGTGTGCAACCACACTTGACTTCACTTTATGTTTTAGAGACATAAGGAGCTCCAGCTTGCTGTTTCAGCTAGTCTGGCAGACCTGAGAGCCCTGGAGATCTACCTGTCCCTCTCCAGAGTCATCCCCAGCACTGCAGTTACAGACTCACCTTACCACACTCAGCTGTTTTTACATGCATGTTGGGGATTCTGCCTGCCTCTGCCTCACAAGAGCTAGGATCAAAGGTGTGCCCACCACGCTCAACACTAATTTTTTATTAATAATTTTTTATTTTATTTATTTATTTTTTATTTTATTTTATTTTTGGTTTTTCGAGATGGGGTTTCTCTGTGTAGCTTTGCACCTTTCCTGGAACTTGCTTTGGAGACCAGGCCGGCCTCAAACTCACAGAAATCTGCCTGCCTCTGCCTCCCGAGTGCTGGGATTAAAGGCGTGCGCCACCACTGCCTGGCTAGTAATTTTTTAAATTAAAATATAATAATGCCATTCCTCCCTTTTTTTCTCCTAACCCTTCATATATACCCCCTTCTTTATCTCAAATTCATGCCTTCTTGTTTCTCTGTTACATACACACACACACACACACACACACACACACACACACATACATACACACACACACACACACACACACACACTCCTAAATATATAAAGACAGCCTGCTCAGTTCATATACTGATATTTGTATAGACATTGTTTCAGGGCTGACTACTTGTTATTGGATAACCAGTTTGGCGGCTCTTCGCTGGGGAAGACTCTCTCTCCTGCTCTCAGCATTCCTTAGTTGCCCTTTTTGTCTAGGTTTGGGGCCCCAAGAGATTTCCCCCTTCCATGTCAACATGTCTATTAGTGTCTTCCTTGTTCAGGTCTCATTTATGCAGCCATGCTGATGATTTCATGACTTCATGGGTGTAGTTTCCCTAGTATTTCTAGGAAACACACTCTCACAGCAGACTTCCTGTTCCCCTGACTGTCACAGTCTTTCCATCCCTTCTCCCTACATGATCTCTTGTGTTGGAGATGTATCAGGTGGGGCTGGGCACCACAGAATCTCTTGTTCCTCTGCATTTTGATCTGTTGAGGTTTTCTGCAATGGTCTCTGTTGCAGAGTTTCTTTAATGAGAGCTAGACCCTGTCTCAAGATGTCTGTCTCCAGTAGCCAGGCATAGTAGTGCATGCCTTTAATCTCAGCAGAGGGAGGTAGAAGCAGGTGGATCTTTGAGTTCAAGGCCAGCCTGGACAGCCAGAGCTACAAAGAGAAACCCTGTCTCAAAACAGCAACAACAACAACAACAACAAAAAGCTATCTCCAGTAAACCTGAATATCAAGTTATTTTATAGATCCACTAACAGTTGCTCTCTCTACAGGTTTCCTGTTTTAAATTCAGTGGCTGTTCGGCTCCTTTGCAATGTGTGGGATTACCATGTTATGGGATGTTTTTACAGGTACATTGTTTAATGAATGATTTTGAATTGTTAACAAGTAGAATATGGAATTCCTGTGTACATTAATAGACACTCTAGTAATCGTAAAGCAAAATAACACTGTAAAAATTTGTTTAAGAATATGTTTGGTTTTCTAACTGGTGAGAAATGCTTAGCATTTATTTACTCTATATAAAGGTACTTAAATTTTGTTTGTTTTTTGTGAGCTAGCGTTTGAACCTAGGTCCTTAGGCATACTAGGTAAGCACTCTATCTCAGAGCTGCAACCCAAGCCCTTAGCCAACTTAAAAGAGTAGTATATGTGTGCATTGGTTTATAATTTTATTTTATTTAATTTTTTGAGTCTGTGTCTCACTGTGTAGCCATGGCTGTCTTGGAACTCATTATGTAAACAAAGATGGTCTCGAGCTCACAGAGATTTGCTGCGTCTGCTTCGCAAGTGCTAGGAATAAAGGAGTGTACCACTACACCTGGCTTTCTTTTTTAACAATTTATTTATTTTATGTACATTGGTGTTTTATCTGCATATATGTCTGTGTGAGGGTGTCAGATCTTGGAGTTACAGGCAGGGTGCTGGGATTAAACCCTGGTCCTCTGGTAGAGCAGTTGGTGCTCTTAACCACTGAGCCATCATTCCAGCCCCTACACCTGGTTTTTTTTATGAGTATTTTCAGTTTAAATTTATAGGCTAATTTCCTGAAATGTGACTTTAGAAATAAATTTATTATGTCAAGAATATCTACTAATCTCTTATAAAGAGAAAAAAATAAAAAGTGTCATTTATTAAGCCTTATATATGTGCCAGACACTGTCCTAAGCAGTCTTCGTAAATTATCTAATTTAAAACTTATAACCACCTTAGGCTCTTACCACATTCCCCAGGACAGTACCTGAGAATCATATGCTGTATCCCAGCCTCCCAGCCACCAGCTCTTATGCACCCAGACTCTAGGACTTCCTACTAACAGTCTTCCAAAAACAGATTTTTTACTTTTTTCCATTTGTTTTGTACTTTCTATCTTTGGATTAAGTATTAAGATATGCATTCATGTAAAATTCAAAAGGAACAAAATATATAAAGTAAAAAGTCTCCCTCCCAGGCCTATCTCCCATCTACTGATTTCTTTTCACCAGAAATAATCACTGCTTAGCAATTTCTCTCAATCTAGAAGGAATAAAGTTAAATTGTGGGTGCTGGGATTAAAGATTAATTTTTTTTTAAATGTATGTAGGTCTGGAGAGATGCTCAGCGGTTGTGGGCACTGACTGTGCTTCCAGAGGACCCAGGTTCAATTCCCAGCATGCATATGGTGACTCATACCCATCCAAACTCCAGTTGTAGGAGGTCCTACAGCCCTCTTCTGACCTTCTTGGAGATCAAGCACACATGTGGTACACATACGTATATGCAAGCAAAACATTTATACACATAAAATAAATCAAAAAATTTTTTAATTTGCATTTGTGTCAATGTCAGAGTGACAACTTGTAAGAGCTGGTGCTCCTTCCACCTGTGGGTTAGGTGTTACACCTTTACCTAATGAGCCATCTCACTGTCTCAGAAGATTATTTTTTTAAACCACTGAAATCCAGTGAATTATTTTAAGGATTTATATGGGGGGCTAAGAGTGATGGCACACTCCTTTAATCCCAGTGCTCTGGAGGCAGAGGCAGAGGCCAGTCTGGTCTACCTAATGACTTCTAGTCCAGCCAGAGTTGCAAAGTGAGACCTTGTCTGAAAAATAAATAAATAAATACACTACATGATTAATTAATTTATATAATTATATGCTACTTTAATCTCATTTTTATATGTTTGTACATCTTTATATATTCAAGACAGTTATTAAATTTTGTCTGTTTTTTTCATTTATTTAAAAACAAGCAAATTATAATCAATTATCACATTAAAATGAGATCATTATCATTTGTAAACAATATTAAAATGACAAGTGTAAAAATCTTAGACAGTCTACTGTAAAACTAAGCCACAGAGGCTGAAAGATGGTCCAGTAGGTAAGAGTACTTGATGTGCTAAGTCTGAAGACCTAAATTCAAATCCTCAGCACCCGAGTGAAAGGCTTCCATTGCCATAATGACCTCTAATCCCATCCCAGGGGCTTACTGGCTGCCAGCATAGCCAAAAACTACAAGTTCTATGTTTGGTGAGAGAGTGTCCCAAAGGAATAGGAGCATGTAGAAGGGGACACCCAACATCCCCTTGTGTGTGTGTGTCCTCTGTGGTCTCATACACACATACACACAAAAATAAATTAATAATTGGTTTAATTTAGTTTGATTTAATTTAAGTTTAAAAGCTGAGTCACAAAACTAGGACTAGAGTTCTATTACTTAGACTTGCTGCAGGCAGATCTCAGGTTTGAGACCACTTGTAGTACAGTAGTGAGTGAGGTCCAAACTGAGAAGGTTATAGCGGTGGTTCATCAGCTAAGAATACTTGATGCTCTTGTAGAACACCAAAGTTTGGTTCCTAGCACCATATCAGGGCAGCTCACAATTGTCTGTAGCTGTGACTCTCCTGGCTTCCACAAGCACTTTCACTCGTGTGGCATAACCTCACAGAGACACATACTCAAAAATCAAAATAAATTTATAAAAACCTTAAAATTTGCTGAGTGTTGGTGGCACACAAACTAGGAGAGGCAGGCAGATCCCTGAGTTTGAGGCCAGTCTGGTCTACATAGTGAGTTCCAGGACATCCAGGACTACACAGAGAAACCCTGTCTTGGAAAAAAAAAAAAAAAGCAAAAACAAAACAAAACAAAAAAAATGTGGTGGGGGGCAAGAGAGATGGCTCAGTGGTTAAGAACACTGACTACTCTTCCAGAGGACCCAGGTTCAATTCCCAGCACCCACATGGCAGCTCATGAGAACCCGACACCCTCATACAGACATACATGCAAAACACCAATTCACATGAAATAAAAATAAATAATTTTTTAAAAAACCACAAAAACAACTTTCTTACTAACAAAAAAGAAGCAAGATTTTGGAGAATTTCTAGGTTGTGATTATATAGATTTCTTGTGAATTGAGGATAAAAATTGTACATCACCTATGTCATATACTACAAACAGCCTATTTTTATTAAGAAGTAGTGGCTACCCTTCCAATTTGTGTCTGAACTTGTGCAAATGTTTCTTCTGTTTTCCTCAGACCTTAACAGCGGGTTGGGATGAACTTGAGTGCCATCGTGTTTATAACTACTTATGTGAGTTGACTAATCTCTCCCGTAAGATGCAGACTGTTGTCTGTAACAAACCAGGTAAAGAGCTTCATTTCAAAGATAATAGTGTAGAGATGAAATGTTAAGAAGAGGTAGAGTTCAAAAGTATACATGAAACAAGTTGTGGAGGGGCTGGGATGTAGCTCGGTTGGTAGTGGGTTCCATCCCAGCACCACAGAACCTAGGATACCATGTGGATGTGATCGGCTTCCTATTGGTAGTTCCTCTGGAGAAGCCTGACTAACAGAAGGGACAAGGACAAACCCCAAATCCAAGATGGTGATTCTTCTGGGGAAAGTGATTGGAATTGGTAAACTAAAAATTCAACATTTGTAATACTTATTTTAAAAACCCTGAAGCAAACATAGAAAGATGTAAGGCTTTGACTAAACTTGATTTGCATACTGTATTTGTTATTGTATTTTTACTTTTCTGTCAACTTGAAACATTTCACTATAAAAAAAGTGATGAGCCGGGCAGTGGTGGTGGTGCACACCTTTAATCCCCGCACTCAAGGAGGCAGAGTCAATGAGTCTCTGTGAGTTTGAGGCCAGGCTGGTCTACATACTGAGTTCCAGAATAGCCAGGGCTGCATGGAGAGATTCTGTCTCAAAAAATAATCAAACTTACTGTCCACTGTTTTAGCTAGACTTGAGCATATTGTTCTTTCTACTCACTGTGTCTCCAATGCCCTTTATGCGATTGTAGTATCCTCTGGGAACCTTTTTCATTTTCTCATTTTTCTTAAATACTTTCTTTCTATCTCATGCTTTAAGACTCAATTTGGGGTCTGGAAGATGTAGTTTAGATGGTGGTAGAATACTTTCCTAGGATGCCCCAACATTGAATAAAACTGATGGGATGACTCATGCCTGTCATCCCAGCACTTTGGAGTTGGAACCAGGCGAATCAGAGGCTCAGAGTCATCCTTAGCTATATACTGAGTCCAAGGCCAGCCTGGGATACACAAAACTCTGTTTGAAAAATAAGTAATTAATTAAATAAACTTAAGAAAATCAGGCCTAGCTCATACCTCTGATCTCAGCACTTAGAAGAGAAGGCAAGAAGATTAGAAGTTCCAGGCTAGTCTCGGCTATATACAGAATTTGTAGCCATTTGGGGCTATATCAGAACCAGTCACAAAGCTAAAATTGTGGCTGTTTACTTGGCAGGTAAAGGTGCTTGAACCTGAGCTCCCTAGGATTCACATGGGGGAGCAGAGAACTGACTTCTACATGCATGCCATGGCACATATACACACATACATGTAGGCACACACAAAATTTAAAAATGTAATAATTTTTTAAAACTGCACACATGTGGTACACAGATATAAGAGTCAAAACACCTATACACATAAAATAAAAATAAATACAATTGAAAAATTATTAAGCCAAAAATATAAATAAATCATAACTCTTAAAATTTTTGTGAAAGAAAATGGAGTATCACTTTCAGTACAAAGTATGTGGATAATGTATGTCTGGTCTTTATATTTATTTCCTTTTAAATCCAAAATCTTGCTGAAGATGCATTTCGTACCTGCCACCACATACACTGGGAGCAGTGACACACCCGTAACCCCAGCACTGAGGAGGTGAAAGCAGGAAGATCTGAAGTTTAGTATTAACCACAAAATGAGTTCAAGGCCAGTCTGGGATACATGAGACCCTGTCTAAATATGTAAATCTAAAACTGCATAAGATTCTGGTAGAGCTGAGCATGGATTTAATTTACCCATTATTCAAATTACCGAAGCTAAATAAGGAAAATAAGCACAGAAGATAGTCAAACTATAGTTAGGGCACCTTCTACTTCCTGGTGACTTCCTGTTTATACACTCAGTTTATGATCTCTCTTTAACCATGGTGGTTAATACCTGTATGCAACTTTTTCTAGAATAATTATTTATGACCTTTTCTTTATAGGAAGTTCCCGAAAACTCGAGTTAAGGATTAGACTGTTCTGTAGGAATGTCCTACTTGATCACTGGACACAGCGAAGTGATTCTGCATTTTGGTTGACTCGAATATTAAAACCATGGCCAATGGTGAATCAGGCAAGATTGCTATATATTATCTTTGGACCAACAGCTCCTCAAGATGGTAAGCACCATTTCTTTTTTGAGGGATGTGTGTTATATACCTAGTTAATTACTTTTGCTTTAGGAAAGCCTTTTAAAAACCTTACTGCCAGGAGGTGGTAGTGCTCGCCTTTAATCCCAGCACTTGGGAGGCAGAGGCAGGTGGATCTCTGTGAATTCGAGGCTAGCTTGGTACAAAGTGAGTTCCAGGACATCCAGGGCTGTAGACAGAGAAATGATGTCTCAAAAAAAAAAAAAAAAAGTCACATGAGTAAAGTATCCAATCACAAGGGCAAGCTACACATGGCAAAAACATGTTTTTCATAGAGGCATATAAACAAATAACTATTGTTAATTGTAATAATAATCTGAAATAAACTCACTCCTGTCTGTTACACATGGGAAGAGCATGAAAACATATTCAATTCAAAATTTCATGATTTTGAAGAAACTGAGACACTTGACTTGTTTTCTTACAAGCACTCAGAATTCTCCTTACATGACTCTGTTCTTGGACTATATTCTGATACATAGAGTTCCAGACCTGTCAGAGATATATAGTAAGTGTCTTAGGGTTCTATAACTGTGAAGAGACACTGTGACCATGGCAGCTCTTTTTTCTTTCTTTCTTCCTTTCTTTTTTTTTTTTTTGGTTTTTCAAGTTAGGGTTTCTCTGTGTAGCTTTGTGCCTTTCCTGGATCTTGCTCTGTAGACCAGGCTGGCCTCAAACTCACAGAGATCCACCTGGCTCTGCCTCCCAAGTGCTGGGATTAAAGAGGTGCGCTGCCGCCACCACCACCCGACTTATGGCAACTCTTATAAAGGAAAACATTTAACTGGGGCTGACTTACAGTTTCATGGCAGGTGGCATGCAGGCCGAGACAGTGCTGGAGAAGGAGCTGAGAGTTCTACATCTTGATCCTCAGCAGCAGGAAGTGAACTGTGTTGCACATGGGCATAGCTTGAGCATATAAGACCTCAAAGCCTGCCTCCACAGTGACATGCTTCCTCCAACATGGCCACACCTCTTAATAGTGCCACTATCTATGGGCATTCAAACACATGAGTCTCTGGGGGCTATACCTTTCAAACCACCACAGTAAGACTTTGTCTCAAAAATAAATAAATACCATCTATTTATTTATTTATTTTATTTGTGTGTATGTGCACGCATGTAATGTGGCATGTCTGTGGAAGTCATAGGATAACTTATAGGAACCACTTCTCACCGTATACTGTGGGGTTCTGGGACGGACTTCAGGTTACCATGTTGGACAGCAAGCACCTTTACATCTTTATCCACTGAACCGTGTTGAAGGTCCAAGGAAGGCCTTTTGTCTTTACTCAGGTCCATCACTGCTAGTGTTTAAAGTGTGCTTTCACAGTTTCAAAAACATACTGCATTAACTTGTGCATACCCTGAGCTTCAAGACAGAAATTGTTCTTCTCTGAGTCAGAACCAAGTATATTCCTGCCATATCTCTCTCTCTCTCTCTCTCTCTCTCTCTCTCTCTCTCTCTCTCTCTCTCTCTCTCTCTCTTTCTCTCTCTCTCTGGCTTTTTGAGACTGGGTTTCTCTGTAGCCCTGGCTGTCCTGGAACTGCTCTGGAGACCAGGCTGGCCTGAACTCATAGAGATCTGCCTGCCTCTTCCTCCTAAATCCTGGGATTAAAGGCATGAACCACTACTGCCTGGCTCCTGTCATCTCTTATTTACCTAAAAGTGCTGCTTTTCCCTCTTAAACATGAATGTAACTTGAGGTTATGTTTGCTGCTGGAGGGAACTGATGATGCAGAGAAATCAAAGCAGAGGCCCAAATTGATGATTTACTTAATTTTAAGTTTTCAGATTCATAATATGACTTTTTAAAAAGTTTGTTACCTAGGTTGTGTTTAGATTAATGTTAAAAATCGCCGGGTGTCGGTAGCATATGTCTTTAGTCCCAGCACTCGGGAGGCAGAGGCAGGCGGATCTCTGTGAGTTCGAGGCCAGCCTGGTCTATAGAGTGAGATCCAGGACAGGCACCAAAACAAAAAAAAAAAAAAAAAGAAAAAAAAAAAAAAAAAAAAAAACCTTACATTTCCTTATTCCACTTTTATCAGTAGATAACCAGTTTTTATGCATATTGGCTAGCAGCCAGGAGTTTTATTTTGAAATTAAAATGTTGTTGTGTATAAGCCACAGAGAAGATTGGCAATAAACAAAAAGAAAGTGACTGAGCTGCTCTGTTTGATGCAAATATTTGAAAGATGCTAATAGAGGCAAGCTCCTTTCTAGAAGGATGCCAGTAGATTTTACTTGATTTTAGTGAAATTATAGCAGTTGACATTCCAATCTGTATTACAGGGTAGTGTCATTTCTGTACTAAAAGCACTATTCTTTGAGGCTGAGGGAGAGTTCAGTGGATAATGTGCTTGCTGTACAAACATGGAGAGCTGACTTTGACCCCCAACACCCAGGTAAAAAGCTGGGTGTAGTGGCTTGTACTTGTAATCCCAACACTGAGGATGTAGCAATGGGCATATCCCTCAGGCTCCCAGCCATCTTAGTCTGATAAGTGAGCCCCAGGTCCCAGTGAAAGACTCTGTTTCAAAAAATAAATCATAATAAAAAAATAAAAGATTCCTGAGGAATGACACCCTGGCCTCCACATGCATGCACATTTACACAGGAAAAGGATAATACAGATAATAAATAGATAGAAGCACTGTTCTTTTTATGAAGAGAGTTAGGACTTATTAAAGATATGTTAATATAAAGGGCTGGAGAGACGGTTCAGTGGTTAAGAACACTGACTGCTCTTCCAGAAGGCCTAGGTTTGGTTCCCAGCACCCACATGGTAACTAACAATCATCTGTAACTCCCATCCCAGGTGATCCAATGCTCTCTTCTGACTTTTCTGGCACCAGGCATGCACATGTTGCATAGACATATGTGCAGGCAAACATTCATACTCATAAAATAATATAAAACAAAACCTAAAAAAAAAACCCACACCAAGCAGTGGTGGTACATACCTTTAATCCCAGCACTCAGGAGGCAGAGCCAGGTGGATCTCTGTGAGTTCAAGGCCAGCCTGGTCTACAGAGTAAGTTCTAGGACAGGTGCAAAGCTACACAGAGAAACCCTATCTTGAAAACAAAACAAAACTAAACTAAACAAAACAAAACAAAAAACACTATAATACCCAGTAACAAAAAAATTAACTTAAAAATACGTTAATATAGGCTTAAGCAGAAACTTAAGAGAACCCTTTCTTAGGAGAAAGTAACATGGCAATATAGGTGTGAGCTTCTCAAAGAATTGTTGAAAGGAAGACCTACCAAAGCATGGGTACAAGCTCCTCAGCGGAGAGTCACAAAAGCACTGTTCTTCATGTTCAGACTACTTTAGTTACTTTGTTTAGATGTTATTGCTGTGTTTCATCACAGTTAATGAGAAACTCAAATTTATAATGAAATCAGAATTGTCATTTTAATGATGACTGTAGCTTATATAAGTAATGGGATTGTGTAATCCTTTCCATTCTAAACAAATCCTGAAGTCTTTATCACAAACTATCTGTTCTGTCATAGCCTACTTTTTGTTTCAATCTAGGGCAGGTGATTTGGCAAGAAATGGTAGAAGGGCCCACAGACGAATCCAGTTTGAAAGGTTTGGCTAATGCCATTAAGTTACTCTATGACACAAGTACCAAGGAGTGGACAGCAGATGATGTTATCAGTCTTGTAGATGAGCTATCAGGTAAAGTGTGTATTTACTAATATAGAGTAATAGAAATTTAGTATTAGAATACAGCTATAAAGTTATACAGACAATTCTCTAAGTAACAAAGAGTGTGTTAGAAATCACTAATTGCTCAATATGTAGTTTTAAGTATGTCTTGTTACTGCTCCAAAACATTTTTAGCTTTGTGTATGTGCTTGTATGTATGTAGAGTATATAAATACATGTGGTGTAAGAATGTGTTTATCTAAATTTCCAATGTTTTAAATTAAATTTGTCCTTTGACAATTTCATGCATTTATATAATGCATTCTGATTACTCTTGCTCTTCACCCTCTCTTAGCTCTCTCCCACTCCCATAAACTCCCCTCCTCCTCTCTATAAGACTTTCTCTCTGTCATGTCTTTTTATTTTGTTTTGTGACCCACTAAGTTTAACCACGATGTTTGCTGTGGAATAATCCTCTTGTATACTATAAAGATTTGTCACTCAAACTGGTTTAATAAAACACTGATTGGCCAGTAGCCAGGCAGGAAGTATAAGTAGGGCGACCAAACTTAGGATGATGGGAAGGAGAAGGGTGGAGTCAGGAGTCACCAGCTAGATGGAGAGCAAGTTGGACACCCAAAATGGGATAGAGGTAAAGGCCATGAGCCCAGGGCAGTACATGGATTAATAGAAATGGGTTAAGTTGTAAAAGCTAGTTAGTAACAAGCCTGAGCTACTGGCCAAGAATTTGTAACTAAATAAGGCTTTGTGTGTTTATTTGGGACCAGGTGGTTCGGGCAGGAAACATCCGACTACAGCTGTCCACGTGACCATGGGTGTAGAACTGTCCCTTGCAGCCTGGTAGACTCCCCAGTGGGTACACAACTGAAAACAGTGACTCCAACTCCCATAGCGTCCATCAGTAGCCAGCAGTTCCCCAGGAGGGATTCAGTTCCCAATTTTACATGGTATTATTAGGTCACTTCATAGTTTAATGAGTTTGCTTACTCTCACTTTACAAGTTCTCACACATTCATACTCTTCTAGATTATATAAAAAGAAATCCCCCTGTTGCTGTAAATACAGTTACTCTGACATTTACAAAGCCTTTATCCTTATGATGTCACTTTGCCTGCTGACATATGTGTAGAACTACTTTGACTAAACTGTCAGCACAGTGGTAAAGCACCATGACATGGGATGATCCCTGTCTCTGGTTGGATGCTGTCATGGAAAAAATATGCCAGACGTGGTGGCTTACTCATGAGACAGAGAAAGGCAGATCTCTGAGGACAGCCTAGTCTATAGAGTGAGTTCTAAGACAGCTAGGAATACACAGAAAAACCCTGTCTCAAAAAGAAAAGAAAGAACAAACCTAAAACATTGTTTCTGAGTATTTCTCTTGGCACTAATTACATTTCCAGTAAAGTAATATAATATTGGATGTATCTAAAGATGTTTACTACAGCAATTGTGTAATTTCTCATTAACTCTTCTTCCTTTAATAAAAGTGGTTCCCCGGGAGTGGCTTCTGGAGAATAATGCACGCCTCCTAATCCTGAGCGGGAACAACATCTGCTTCACTTTCATGGCCAGTAAAGCTGTGAACGGACGGGCCATTGAGCTCGCGAGGCTCATAGTCTTTTTGGCTTTGGTAAGTAAACTAAATTTTTCTCTAGCAAGTTATTTAGCATTCACTTGACCCAGCAATAGAGCTGCTTCCCTGGTGCTTACAAAGCCCCAGGTTTGTCTGTCTGTCTGTCTGTCTGTCTGTCTGTCTGTCTCTCTCTCTCTCACACACACACACACACACACACACACACACACACACACACACACACACACACACACACACACACACACACACACCACATACACCTACCAGGAACTGAACTTTACAGAAAATATTATTAAAGAAATAAGTATTAAAGTACATATTTTGTTTGTTTTTGTTTGAGACAGAATCTTATATAGCCCAGGCTGGCCCCAAACTCTCTATGTAGGCAAAGGTGACCTTGAATTTGAGTGCTGGGATTACAGGCATGTGCCATCACGCTCCATTTTATTCACTTACTAAGCATTTCCCATTTGCTGACTCAGTGGGTATCCTATGTAATAAACTATGCTAAATCATAAGCTGTCGTTGTCACTACCACTTTAAGCTTTACAGCTTTCTTCACATGAAGACTGATAATAGTGCTTTGTGCATCTGAATCAGGTGTGTGAGAAAGAGCTATATTGCATGGACTGGACAGTTAGAATGATGCAAAAAGTCTGCAAAGTCTTCAGCACTGCAGCAGAGAGAAAGAGCTTCCTGCAGAGCGTGGCAAATGCTTTTGCCTGTGTCACCATGGAAATGCTGCAGCCTATTATGTCTGGTAAGTAAGAGTGTAGACAGTTCATAGGAGTGAGTGATAGTGCCTTCAGGTCTCAGCCTCAGATGCAACTAACTGGGCTTGGTGGTTCACACCTATAGTCCCAGTACTCAAGCCTGAGCAGGTGAGCTGAAGTTTGAGCCTGGGCTACATAGTGAAACTCTGTCTGGGAGTTTGATTTTGGTTTTTTGAGACAGAGTCTCTCTCTCTCTCTAAGTAAACCTAACTGGCCTGAAACTCTCTATGTAGACCAGGCTAGCCTTGAACTCACAGAGAGCCAACTACCTCCACCTTCCAAATGCTGAGACTAAAGGCATGCGTTACCACACAGGGCCTTATGTAGGTTTTAACAGATACTAATTTAGTTTACTAGGTGGCCAACATGATAATTAAACCCTGCTGGGTTTTTTTTTATTGTTTACTCATTTTTTTTTATTTCATGTGCACTGGTGTTTTGCTTGCATATATGTCTATGTGAGGGTCTCAGATTTCCTGGAACTGGAGTTACAGACTGCGGTGAGCTGCCATGTGGGTGCTGGGAATTGAACCTAGGTCCTCTGGTAGAGCAGTCAGTGCTCTTTACCACTGAGCCATCTCTCCAGCCCCAACCCAGCTGTTTTTTAAAAAAGCTTTTTTTGGAACTCACAGAGATCCACCTGCTTCTGCCTCCCAACTGCTGGGATTAAAAGTGTACACCACTGCCACTTAGCTTTTGCTGTTATTTTATTTTGCCTGCATGTATGTCTGTGCACTATGTCCATGCCTGATACCTGCAGAGGTCAGAAGAGGATGCTGGATTCCTTAGAACTGGAGTTATAGATGATTGTGAGTCACCATGTGGGTGCTTAGAATCGAACCAGGGTCCTCTGCAAAAAGGAATTGGCTGGTGCTCTTAACCAATAAGCCATCTCTCCAGCTCCTAATTAGCCCTGTTTTATAGATGAGAAAAAGAAAACACAGAAATAACCTGACTTGCCCAAGGTCATAAATTAAAAGATACTAAAGCTTAGACCAGTGTCCTTTTCTGTTTTCTATCTAGTGTCTAATTTTGTGGCTTTAGTGGTTAATGCCTGGCTTAGTAAAGATCATCAACAAAAATTCTTCTCTTTAAATATTATAAACACTGAGAACATCTTACATTCCTAAGCCATGTTTTAAAATGTTTAACTTTTCCCTCTTCCTGCTGTCTGTTCCTGTGTGTGTGTCACAGGAGAGCGTGATGAAGATGACAGAGGCTTCCTGAATTTGTTCCATCTTCTGCATGCTCAGGCGAACTTCCATAAGGAGGTGCTGTATTTGACCATGAATGCCTCCTCTTCCTAAATCAAGAAGCTTGTCACTTAAAAATTGTGTCTGCAGACTAGCGCTTAAGAGAGTGGCACTTTTTCACATCCAAGGGTAGCACCTGTTGGACTTTTGATAATCTAATTACCAGAAACTCCAGCTGCACAGGATTTTAGCTGTAATTGTTTCGCTCTGATTAGTATAAAATAACAGGCAAACCCAAGAATGTGTTGCTACTTTTCTGGAAAACAAGCTCTGCCTCTCCAGATCTTGGTAAACTCAACATCAAACCAAAGCAGAATGTTAACTGTCCAAGAATCTGCAGCCAGCTCAACCTGTTTGTGTGGCTCTTTGAAGCAAGAGCTAACTTGGCTTCATTAAGAACAGATTCACATTCGTTAACTTGTGCTATCTGTTCACTTTGCACCAGCTCAGCAAATATGGCCCAAATATTTTGTGAGGATTTGTAATACTGTGTTTTAGAATGTGCATTATGTAAGTCACATTCCGTACCACCTTCTTAGCATATGGTTACAAAATAAATTTTATATTTCATTTATATTTGTATGAATTAACAGAAAAAATCCAAAATAAGTATTGTGGATACATATATATGTATCTTTTTATACATATAGACACATATACATGTATTTCCTGCAAGACAATCACACAAAAGGTCTACAAAGACAGGAAGGTGTGTGTATGTGAGCTATAGTCTTCAGATAATGGAATCATCTTGTAACTTCCTGGGGATTAGAGCAGAGAATTGCAAGCAGGAGAAAAACATAATGAAAGTAAATAGCTCTTCTGCTGCCAAAACAATCTTCACAAGTGACTCCCACTTCTTGGTAAGACATTCCCCTGTCCCAGAAAGTGGGGTTTGATGACGGGAACTGAAAGCACACATGGTTAGAGTAGACAAAGAGAGGAGATGGGCAGGGGAGAGAAAGTGTTTGAGGATCCCAGAGAACTCTAGGCCCATTCAGTAGACCTACCACCTACCTTCACCTCCACTTCCTCTGAAGGTAGAATAATGCAGGGGGCCCTCTGGAGCCCTGGCTTCCTCTTCTTGAAGCCTTCCCCTCCAGGCAAATGCAGGGCTTTCTACATGCTAAGCACGCACTTGACCACTGAGCTGGATCCCTGGCCCACTGTCACCCTCCCACTGGACTTCTCAGGGGCTGTCCTCTTTTCCTCAGAACACTGGGAGATAAGGAAATTATCTTCGGTGGCAGGGTGTAAAGAAAATTCATAGATTTTTAGCAAAAGGGCTCTGAACATTGGATAGGACTGAGGAGTAGTGAAAATTGTGGAGAAATAAGAATTGTGATAACACCTTCAATGTGGAAGGATCAAAATTAATTGCCTTTTTCTTGTCCAATTATAATTCCACTAGTGGGAAGATTTTTTTTTCTCCAGAGTTTATTTGAAGATTTAGGGGGCAAAACATTCTTGCTTTTATAAACCTCATTCATTTTCTTCAACTCAGTTGAAGAAATGATCTGTAACAATCAGCCTAGGCAGCCTATGGTAACAGCAAGTACCAGAATGCAAAGTAACACCTCAGAGCATTGATTTTTTCCCCCGTCTCTGATTTCCCATAGCCACTTTGGAAAAATTACTATTTTTACTTCTCAAAACACTAGTGATTTCAAGTTGACGTTAGCTATCACATCCGGCTCTGAAGATTTTGATAAATAGATAACTTCATTTTATAGGGCTAAGAGTACTACTGCCTGCTCTTACAGAGAACTTGGGTTCAATCCCCAGTACCCACATAGCAACTTAAAACAATCTGTAACTCCAGTTCCAGGGGATCTCATGCTTTCTTCTGGCCTATGCAGGCATACATATAGTGAATATCCATCCATCCATCTATCCATCTATCCACCCATCCATCCATCCATCCATCCATCCAGACAAAACACCCACACAAATAGAGTAAATATAATTTTTTTTTCTAAAAGATTATTTCATTTTCTTTCTTTCTTTCTTTTTTTTTTTTTTGGTTTTTCAAGACAAGGTTTCTCTGTGTAGCTTTGTGCCTTTTCCTGGAACCCACTTGGTAGCCCAGGCTGGCCTCGAACTCACAGAGATCCGCCTGGCTCTGCCTCCCGAGTGCTGGGATTAAAGGTGTGCGCCACCACCACCCGGCTTCATTTTCTTAGATGTGTCATTATGAAGTTTGTTTTAATTCCTTGAATTACATAAGTCTCCACAAAAGTTATTTTTAGAAATTTTATCAAAGAAGCATGTTTTAATTAAAACAATTTATTTTCTGTACTGGAAATTTAACTTACAGCCTCACACTAGATGAGCATTCTACTACTGAACTATAATCCTGGATAATTTAAAGTTTCTTTTATTGGAATCTGAGACTCTTTGCACCTTTGTTGGCATAACTCGCTGCTATAAATTCTTTCAAATTCACATAATTTTGTTAATCCTATTATTCTCTCTTGTCCAGAATTTGGATCAGAAAAAAAAAATTAGCCTAAGACTGCAGTATATATCCTTTTTTCCTTCCTTCCTTCCTTCCTTGTTTGTTTTGTTATTTATTTTTCAAGACAGGGTTTCTCAAGACAAGGTTTCTCTGGGTAGCCCTATCTGTTCTGAAACTCTCTCTGTAGATCAGGCTCGCCTCTAACTCACAGAGATCCACCTGCCTCTGCCTCTGAGTGCTAGGATTAAAGCTGAGTGCCGCCACTGCCTGGCTTCTTTTTTTTTTCTATCTTTAAAAAGTAAATTGACGGGACTGGGGATTTAGCTCAGTGGTAGAGTGCTTGCCTAGCAAGTGCAAGGCCCTGGGTTCGGTCCTCAGCTCTGGAAAAAAGAAAGAAAAAGTAAATTGACAAGTTTTTCATTTAAATGTTAATAGATAAAATAAATTTGGAAACAAATCTGTGGTTTCCATAATTCAGTAATCCAGCTGATTTTGCTGAGTACATTTGTCATCAAAAATAAAATGATTTTGAGTTTTAAAGAGGGACATTAAATTTTAGGAAGCATTTATTCAATGGTTTAAGTAACAGACAGTCTGATTAACCACAAAAAATGGACCATTTGAAAATGAGTAGACTGAAACACTAGAACTGACTAGCCTAGAACTAACTAGAACAGTCACAAAAACACTGCGAATTTTCCACCAGCCAGACAATTTCTCCCGTCTCTCCAAACCAGATCAGTCTCCATGATCACCGGAGACCCAGGACCCCAGGATGTCTTTTTTCCCTTGGCCTCCTTTGGCTTTGATTTATAGGGTGGGCTTTCCTTCTCCATCACTACATTGCTTGTGTTGTTGTTTCTGTACACATAGCATAACATGTTACTACTTACTTTAGAAACTGAAGTTTCTATCTTATAATGACTATCTTAACCGTGTAAAGCCATATATTTCTCTCACACTGTTGTGGATAATGCCTTCTGTCTCCTCAGTCAGTAAGTAGCAGTTCATGAGTTCCAGAGGCAAAGTTCAGCATTGCTCATCAGCAACTGCTTATAAGTTCCTTCTCCTAGGCTACTCTGTTTGCACTTGCAGGACTTTATTGTAGGGTAACTGCTCACCTTTGGAGAGCAGAGCCAGCATGAGGTGCCCAGGAGAAGGTGCAATGGCAGAACCATTTTATATCTGAGAAATAAACACTACCCTCTTTGTGGGATTATTGTCAAGGTCAGCATCCTTATGTAAATAGCACTCAATCACATGAATGCAGATTTGTACATGCCTTTGACAGCCTCTGTGCTTACTGGAAACCTTATTAGCACTCCACTAGCAGTGTGCACTGTTATCTCAAAAGCATTGTGTTGTGCTAAACATTTTTGATACCTAATATTGTATTTGTTAAACTTTATTTCTTATTCATCTTAATAAAATTAAGTTTAAACTGGGAATACTTCAAATATGTTTAGAGTTTGTTATTATTCCAGTCATTAATTTTCTTGAATGTACTTCTCTTTCTTTAAACTGTTAAATTTTTTTTTCTCCTTTTTTAGACAGGGTCTTACTATGTAGCTCTTGCTGGCTGGGAACTATGTAGACTAGGCTGGCTTCAAACTCACAGAGATCCACCTCTGCCTCCTGAATACCAAAACTGAAGGTTTGTGCCACCATGCCTGGCTAAGCTATCAATTAAGCTCTACAGTGATTTTAAAAACAGAATTGTTAGAGCTGGTTTCATGCCTATAATCCCAGCACTTGGGAGTAGGGGCAAGGGCAGAAAGATTGCTGCTAATTTGAAGTGAGCCTGTTGTACATATCAAGTTCCAAGCCAGTCAGAACTACATACACAGCAAGACTTTGTCTCAAAGCAAAACAAAAGTAACACTCAGTTTCCAAACACGGGATGGGAACTGAAGGCAGCACCTTGTATATGCTAGGCAAGCACTGCACCAGTAACCTTAGCCCAGGCCTGCGCCTTTGTTTGTTCCATGCTGAGGATGGAGCTCGGGGCCTCAGGCATGCCAGAGATACACTCTACTACTAAGATACAGCACAGGCCCCAGGGAATTGTCTAAAAATGGTCTTGCAGAGAGTTCTGATGTATCTCTCTTATCCTTAATAGTGTAGCATTCAAAGATTAACTTCATTTACTAGCAACTACTCATAAATTGAGCAGTAATCTATAAGTAGAACAACATTGTACACTGTTCTCTTTAGTTCAGAGACCTCTCCAAGCATTATTCCAACTACTGCTAAAATAAAGATGTTTTGATTACCAGTTTAACACCAGTTCCAAATCCCTAAATAAACAATTAATATTATGTGTTACTAGCAACTTCCTGAAACTACAAGATTTCAGTGTCTGTCTCTTCCCTTTCTCCTTCCCTTCAGTTGGGAAGGGGGCAGATGCAACCCAGGATATTGCCCAAGATAGCTAAGTGATCCTCATGTGTTTTTAGCTGGGCATGGTGATGTAAGCTTTTAACTCCAGCACTTGGGAGGCAGAAGCAGGTGGATATCTTTGAGTTTGAGGCCAGTCTATTCTGCAAGTTCCAGGCTAGCCAAGGCTACACAGTAAAACCATGTTTTAAAAAAATATATTAAGCCAGGTGGTGATGATGATGGTGCACACCTTTAATCCCAGCACTCAGGAGGCAGAGGCAGGCAGATCTCTGAGTTCAAGGCCAACGTGGTCTACAGAGTGAGTTCCAGGACAGGCTCCAAAGCTACACAGAGAAACCCTGTCTCGAAAAACCAACAACAAAATTCAGTGTTTTAATTGTGCTTCAGAATGCCGATATATAGGTAGTTTAAATATGAAATAAAATATTCTCCAGCAAGACACAGTAGTAGTTCATGCCTGTAATCCCAGTACTTGGGAGACTGAGGCAAGAGAATTGCTGCAAGTTCAAGGCCAGCCTAAGGTATGTAATGGATTCCAGGCCAGCTTGAATTCAAAAATAAATAAATAAATAAATTATTTTTTCTAACTATTCAAGCGGCAAGAGGATCACTTGAACCCAGAAGTTTGAGACCAACCTGGACAGAGCTTGGATACAGTCTAAAAAAATAAAATGTTATCTGGACAGTGGTGGCACATATCTTTAGTCCCAGCACTCAGGAGGCAGAGGCAGGCGGATCTCTGTGAGTTCCAGGACAGCCTGGTGAGCTCCAGAACAGCCAGGGTTGCACAGAGAGACCCTGTATCAAAAAAAAAAATAAAAATAAAAATAAAATGTTTTGGTTTGGTTTTTGAGACAAGGTCTCACTATGTGGCCTGGGAACTTGCTCTGTAGACCAGGCTGGCCTCAAACTCATAGACCATGCACCTGCCTCTACCTCCCAAGTGTTGAGATTAAAGGTATGTGCCACTAGGCTGGGCAAAATAAATTTATCAGAGCTGAAGAGATGGCTCAACAATTAAAAGCAATGGCTGCTCTTACAGAGGACAGAGTTCAATTCCTAATACCCACTTGTTGGCTCACGATTGTCTGTAATTACATTTCTAGGAGATCTGACACTGTCTTCTGGCCTCTGCTCCATGGGCAACAGGCACCGTGTGGTGCACAGATATATATGCAGGCAAAACACCCATATACATGAGATAATAATAAAAGAAATTTTAAAAGTAAGTAAGTTTATCAAAACAAAACAATACTAGCACTGAAGAGGTTGAAACAGGAAGATGAGGCCAGCCTAGCTATTTAGTGAGACAAGTAATACAACAGAAAGCTACTGTTATTTCTGAGTGTATTACTGTATGGGTGTATAGGCACAAAGTAACAATTCTCCCAAGTTTCTTTCTTTTCTTTCTTTTTGGTTTTTGGTTTTTGAAACAGAGTTTTTCTGTATAACAGTGTTGGCTGTCCTGGAACTTGCTTTGTAGACCAGCCTGGCCTTGAACTCACAGAGACCCCCTTGCCTCTGACTCCCAAGAACTGGGATTAAAGGTGTGCATCACCATGCCTGGCCAAAGCTTATTTCTTAAAACTATGGAGCCAACTGATGAGATAGTACAGCAGTAAAGGTGCCTGTCTGCTACACCTGAAGGCCTGTTTGATCCTGTGGACCCACATGGTGTAAGGAGAGAACAGGCGCCCACATACAGGCTGTGGTACCCATGTGTACACACACACACACACACAAAAAAAAAAAAA